TTTTTCCACCCAATGTCAGCCACCCCTATCTTGGATAGTAAAATACAAATGTCCTTTCCTTCTTACTTAATATTCCCACTTTAAGAGTTCTATAACACTTTTAGAACTGCTAATTCATTTGATGCTGGTGTAATAACCTGGTTGTTACAAATAATATAGGTAGGCCATTTACACAGCTGTGCAAAAAAGCTGCATTTAACATTCCCAGGTTTGTTCTCCCATGATTGATAGGGAAAGGGATGGAATAAGGCAGTTTAGATGCACGTCCAGTAAGGTCTGCGTGACATGGGAAAATGCTTGCCTGGCAATCACACCTGGAAACAGGTAATTGGGCATGGCCACTGCGAACTCGAATATATAAAGCTGAATATATAAACTTCCAAACAAAGGAAGATTGCTGTCTCTTGGCTCCAGAGCACTGTGCACCTGTGACTCCTATTGCAGGGGCACGCTCCCCTGCGCCACATGGTGCGAGGCCTGTTGGACTCCACACACGGACGAATAGACTTTAAACTGGCCTGAATGCTGAACTGTACCCAGCTACAACATGAGACTGAAGTTCTGGACACTGGACTTGTTTCTGGCTCTGCTGAACTCCCAGCTGCCTCTTTCAGGACTGACTTGGAGAAATGGGGGACATTGGACACTGAAGAATGTAACTTTACACAAATAAAATCTTCCACATATCATCTTCCCATAGGAGCTTCTGAAAATGCTTCTTTCAGCTGCACCCCAAGAACGTCCACCTCATTCCCGCCAGTGACCAGGGAGTTTAATTCTTCAGAAACACATGACTACCATTTAAAAAAAATATTTAGTTCTCCTCACCCTCACCATGCCTTTACTTTTCTCCTTATGGACCTTAGGCACACAGTCCTTTGTTCTCTTGTAAAAAACTTCAGTTTACTTGTCTCTTTATATAAACTCTGCTCTTGGTTAAACTTCCCATCTCCTTTCCATTTGCACCTCAGCACAGGATGCATTTAGGAAGCAGCATGCAGTCACACTGAATGATGGTTCCCAAATGACCACAACTGACCAACATGCACTTAATACATACCTTAACAGATATCAGACCTTGTCATTTTCTGAAAAGGACTTCATATCTTCTCATACCTCCAGTTCTGAATTTTTACTGTTAGCTGATTTTATTACTGCTTTTGTCACTGAACAATTGAGGAAGTAGACCTGTCATACCTCACTTCCTAATTACCAGATCTAACACTCTTGACCTGAGTCTGTTCCCTTTGATTCTGTTGCTGCTTTTCCTACAATATAATGATATGTTTTTCCTGCAACTGTGCAAGATCAATCTTTTCTCTTATATAGTAGGTCATTTTTTATGTCATCTATTCAGTGTTTTTTTGGTTTTGTTTGTTTGTTTACTTGTTTGCTTTTCTGCATCTAAAACTACCTTTTATATAATCAGTTTCTTCCCTTTTGCTTGGTCATTCATTCCTATCAGCATACAAACATAGTATAGTCCCCTCCCTGAGTCACTCCACCGTTATTGCCCCAGTTTTTGCTCCTTTTTTACAGAAAATTTCTTCAAAGAGTGGTACATTCTTTTTCTTGCTTTCCCCTTTAAAGTTCTGATCAGGCTTATCTCCAATCCACCTGCCAAACTGGTATTGACAAGGTCACAGTGATTAGTAGATGGTGACACCATTCACTTATTGTTGAGGCCAAAAGCTTTGGCATCATTTTAAAATTCTTTTTCTTTCACACCTCACATCCAAACTATCAGCAAATGTCTGATCAAACTTCATGTTTGATCAAACTCCTCTATCTACCATCACTGGCATCTTATACCCAGCTACTGTCAACTCGTGACCAAACAATATGCAAGTCTTCTTGTTGGCCTCCTTGCTTTATATTTTGACATTTATGTCTGTTGCCATACAGGACTTAGAATAATTTAAAATAAACAAGCTTTATTAGATCTTACCCTCCAGTAATTTTTCACTCAGAATAAAGCCTAAAGTACCCACTGTAGTTTGTAAGACCATATCAGTGGCTTACAAACTTTTTCTTAAATGGTCAAGATCATAAACATTTTAGGCTTTGTATAGCCATAGACCCTCAGTTGCTGCTGCTTTGTCTTCTCCTCCCTTTTCTCCTGTGCTTCCTGTTGTGTCCTTACAAGCTTCTTAAAAAGTAAAAAGTGTCCTTAGCTCAAGAGTCATGCAAAAACACTTGGCACTCAAACTGGAATTTTTCCATCCTGTCTCCTGTTTTATCTCTTTGTCATCTGTAATTCTGTTATGCTCATGTATTCAAATGTGTCTTCTTGCTCTCCTTTGAATATTCCATTCCTGCCTTAGGGCTTTTTGTTTGCTTGGAATATCCATCTCCCAGATTTCCAATGTCCCCTCCTCCATACTTGGGTCTCTGCTCAAATGTTATTTTCTTACAAAAATGTCATTAGCTCAAACTGTTAACTTTAATTAATTAATTTCAATCCTCAAACAAGGATTTTTTTCCCCATTGCTTTTCTCAGAGAGAGTAGAAGGAAGGGAGGAAGGAGAAGGAGGAGAAGGAAGAGGAGTAGGAGAAAGAAGAGAAAAAACATTGAAGTGAGAGAGACACATGGACTGGTTGCCTCACACTAGTGCTCTGGGCTTGAGAGTGAACCCGCAACCCAAGTACATCCCCTTGACTGGTAATTGAAGCCATGACCCTTCATTGTGTTGGCTGACGCTCTAACCACTTATCATACTAGCCAGGGCTCAAACTCATAACTTAAATAGCTACATTCCCTATCACTCCCCTTCTTTCATCTTTCCATTCAAGTAGATGCCACCATATTTTGACTTAGACTAAAAACCTAGAAGTCATCTTGACTTTTTAAAAAAATATATATATTTTATTGATTTTTCACAGAGAGGAAGAGATAGGGATAGAGAGTGAGAAACATCGACGAGAGAGAATCATCAATCAGCTGCCTCTTGCACACTCCCTATTGGGGATGTGCCCGCAACCAATGTACATGCTCTTGACCGAAATCGAACCTGGGACCTTTGAGTCTGCAGGCTGACGCTCTATCCACTGAGCCAAACCGGTTTCGGCATCTTTGACTTTTTTTTAACCCCTGTATCTACATCATGTAAACAACGTTTGACACAAGGTAGGCATTCAACATATCCTTTAAGTAATAAATGTAAAAGTTATTTTAATACAGAGTGGCTTGCCTTTTGAAAAAAGGAATCAATTGTGGGGATGGGGACGGGAGTTTAATTTATGTGGCTCATAAACAGCCTGTCCTGAGAAGTTAGTCTCAACTCAGATCTAACTGCTGCCTAGGAGTAGGCCTGCGTAAGGATGGGGCTGTTATGGTAAGGTCTTGGAAAGAGGCAGGAACCTCAGGTGACAATGCAGAGGCCTTTAGGCAATTTAGCTAGAAAAAAACTTTATATAACTGAAATAAAGAAGTATTTTTAGCCTATGAGTTTAATCTGTTTTTCTCAATGTTTATTGGAAAAATTTACTTGCTGCCCACTTAAAATATCCACCTTTAACCCCATCCTCCAATCAAACACAACAACAATTAAAATCTCTGCTTCTATGTTTTGAATTTAGAATGTAAAATGGTCCTACAGAAAAAATTGATGGGTTAGTTTTGGTCTTTTATATAAATGGTGGACCCATACTATACATTTTTTTTGTTTGACTTAATTCAACATATTTTTTTGGATTCATTTATTTTGTTGCATTATCAGTAGTGAAATTTTGTTGTGTAGTATTTCATTGTATGGATATAACCAAACTTGTTAATGAATACTTGGGTTGTTTCCAGTCTTTGACTATTATGAATAAAACTGTTATGAACATTGTATGGGTATATTTATTTATCCCTCCTACTTAACACCTACTTGTGCAATTGCTGAGTCTTATAGTCAGTGTATGTTTAGTTTTAAAAGAAACTTAAAACTTTTTTGCAGAGCGGCAATACTGTGTTATATCTCCACCAGGCATCTAGGAGGCTACAGGTGCTTCACATCCTCACCAGTCTAGGGAGTGTATAGCGTTATTTTACTTGTTCTAGTCTGCATTTCCCTTCTGATAAATGTTCGTGAACATCATTTCATGTGATTATTGGCCATTCATATATCTTCTTTTGTTATTGGACTAAATATTTGTGTTATTACTATTGATTTATAGGGGCTTGTTAAATATTTTGAATACAAATCCTTTATGAGAAATATTTATCATTGGGAGAGGTAGGCAGTCATGGGCCCTGAGTATCACTGTCTGTTTTTTCTGGTTATGCCAGGAACTGAAGGCTTGAATGCTTTTTACCAAGGCCATTTCTCAAGGTTGCATTTGCAGTGGGTAGCCTTAGAAGTGAAGTTATATTTGTCTGTAGAAAATGAGCAGGCTTGTTATTGCTTGCTAAAAAAAATGGTGAATCCCTGTGAAGCAATCCATGGCATGTGAAGGCATCCATCACCTGTGGATCTGCATCATTCCTGTGGGAATGGGTGGGTTGGGAATGAATATATACATAGTAAAGTTTTTGACTCTGCCTTAGGATTCTTGTGTATTCTGCCAGCATCCATGAAACAGGAGCAGGCAGGCCAACTTAGCTTGTATGTAGGATAAAATCTCAAGCTTTTTGTGCTATTTGGGATATATATTTTAATAGGGTCATTTTTAATACTAGTTTTGTTATTTGCATGTGCCTAAAATATATTACTATATTTTAAAATATTTTCTATGATGTGCACTTTATTGTTTTTCATGTTTTTTTTTTTAATTTAAAAAGTAGTCATATTAATTTGCAAATCTTTTGATATTATGTTACTATCTTTTATGGTTACCATGGATTATGAATTTATGGATTTAATGGGCGCAGGTAAAGAAATCATCCACGGGAAGTAATAATTGTTCCAATAGTTGTGTACAGCCATTAATAAGAAAGGTGGGGCTAATGAAATTGTTATTTTAATAGCTAATCTTTACACAATATGAATTAAATTTTTTTAAAAATTATTTTACAGGGAAGTCTTAAGAGGAATCGGCAGATCTCACCTCAGGAATTCATTCATGAATTGAAAATGGGGCCTGCTGACGAGAGACTTGTAACTTGCCTGGAGTCACTTCGCGTTTCTTTGACTAGTAATCCTGTGAGGTAATTTCTACATCTGATCATCATCGGGCATGATACTAAGTTAATCAGTTGTTATAAATATGTCACTTTTACTTAATACTTCTATAATTAGTAGCCAGTATAGCTCAATAACTACCTAAGGTAAAAATTGAATACATAGTATTTCTATGCATGAAGAAATTTAGTCTTAATTGTACTTTTGTATTTATTACTGAGTAATACATAGCCCATTGACTTTTAAGAAACTAACTTTTTCCCCCTTAGAATTTTTAAAAACCTAGGCTATTTTTAAAAAAGAGAACAGTGATGATTAGAAACTACTAATCTAATGTGATTGAGATTCATTCTGAATTTTGGTATTGCATATGAATTGGCTCTTCTTGTTTGATATAGCAAGAAGTACCACGAATTTTTTTTTTTTTTTTTTTCTTTCCATTTTTGGAAATGGCCGTGTTAGGTTAGTGTCAGATTTAGCAAATATTTCCCAGTAAAATCTGAATGTTAGATATGCTTATACTTAAACAATTGATTTTCTGAAGTACAAATTTAACTGTATCTGGCAACATTACTATAGGGGTGTCTCTAAATAAATTTTTAGACTTTTTAGTTGAGCATATTCTTAAACATTTTCAAGCAGAAGTTGTTATAAAATATCTGAGTAGTAGATCGGTTTTGTATGTAATTGCTTATTTCTTCATAAAAATGTACCTGCATGTGTGTACATGATGAAGGTGTGTGTGTGTATATATGTACATATGTATTCCAAGGGCTAGAATGACCAACTATGATTGGTTGTTAATATGTAAAGAATCTCTGTGATATTCTATTTTGAAGACATTTCTGTAGTTAGACTACAGTATAAAAAAGTCCTTGATGCCAAAACCGGTTTGGCTCAGTGGATAGAGCGTCGGCCTGCGGACTGAAAGGTCCCAGGTTTGATTCCGGTCAAGGGCATGTACATTGGTTGCGGGCACATCCCCCATGGGGGTTGTGCAGGAGGCAGCTGGTCAATGTTTCTCTCTCATCGATGTTTCTAGCTCTCTATCCCTCTCCTTCCTCTCTGTAAAAAATTAATAAAATATATATTAAAAAAAAAGTCCTTGACTTTTCATACTATTAATACAAATATTTATTTTAGTACAGTACAAGTATTTAAAATAGAGGGGCCCTAATTGCCAAGTCATGAAAGTGAGTGAGGAGTGTGAAAAGTGAACAAAGAATCTTTACTATATTTCAATTTTATTTTTTCATATTTTACCACTTCCAATCTGTTTTCCAGACTGTATACTAATAGCGGGCAAGAGACCACAGACTTTACATATTTTATTTACCTGTGTTTATTAGACCGTGCTCAGCATATGAAAGGTGCTCAGTAAAGATTTGTGGATTGAAACAATGAGGTTTGATTTTAGCCTTCTTATGCCTTACCTTGCCTAATGATAGAAACTAAGTTGAATTAGGCATTTATTTACAGACATAGTCATACATGAAGAGCCATAGCTTCTAATGTTTTCTGTACCTGTTAAATGTATTCATTTAACAAATAATTATTAAGCACTAGCTACTTTTCTAGTACTATATTAAGTGTGGAACTTGAGAAAATAGCAAAGTTGATCCAGGCTCTGTTCCTATGGAGTATAAATTAGGAAGAGATATTTTGGCGTTGATTGGGGAGATATACTCATTTCTCAGTTTATCTGGCAGCTACTGGGCACTGGAGATATTCATGGCTTTTCAATATAATTAAAAGTAGACTTCACCTTTTCTTGTTCATCTTCATCTTTTAAATAGGTGAATATGAGAGCAAAAGAACAACTGAAAAGGTTTAATGTATAAATTCATCCACATTACAATAGATACAATTATTTTTGTGATTTTTACCTACAAACACTGGGAAATAATGCTACATGTCTCTTTCATTTGAACTCCCCTCCTCACCATCAAACACTTATAGAAATACTAGAGGCCCGGTGCATGAAAATTCATGCATGGAGTGGGAGGCCCTCATACCGGCCTGCCCCCTCTCAGAGTCTGGGAGTCCTCAGGGGCAAGAGGCGACCCAGTGATCAGTGGAAGGTGACGCCCCCATCACATCTCTGCTGCTGCCACTGGTGGCAGCACAAGCCTCGGCTGGTCCTGGTTTCCTTAGCCTCCAGCAACACTGGGTGGCTGGGCATCCACCATTGGAGGCTTGCCTGCAGCTCGGACAAGCCCTGGGAGGTTGGGGGGCTGAGGGACTGGGGGACTCTGGAGGCAGGTGGGCCCAGCCTTGCTGCATGCCTGCTGCCCTGGTGGGGCTGAGGGGACTGGGCAATGCCATCTTGTGACTGTGGGCACTACCATCTTTGAGGGCAGGACAGTCAATTAGCATTATTCCCTCCTTATTGGCTATAGGTGCTGCCATCTTTGTGACAACGTGAGGGTCAGTTAGCATATTTCCTCTTTATTAGATAGGATTTCCCCAAGAATGGCCAGAATAAAAGGGTAATATGCAAATTGACTGAACGGTGGAACAACCAGTCAGTCATGTGCACTGACCACCAGGAGGCAGATGCTCAGTGCAGGAGCTGCCCCCTGGGGGTCAGTATGCCAGAAGCTGGGCTTACAGCTGGTGAACACAGTGGCGGGGGAGCGGGAGCCTCTCCAGCCATCGTGGCAGCACTAGTGATGTCTGACTGAAGGCTTAGGCCTGCTCCCTGTGGGTAATGGGCCTAAGCCTTCAGTTGGACATCTCCTAGGGCTCCCAGACTGTGAGAGGGTGCAGGCCGGGTTGAGGGACTCCCCGCCCCCTGCCCAGTGCTCAAATTTTATGCACTGGGACAGTAGTATTATTAAGATCTACAAGAGATGTGGATATTTCCATAAGTCTTTTTAATAGAAAGGAATAGAAAATCTTATTGGATAATTTTTTTTTTTTCTGAAATCATAGCACTTTATGGTGACAGAAAATTGAGAAGATACTTGAGAACATTTCTGTATCTAGTGTTCTGATTAGAGGAGTGACTTAGCTGGACATGTATAACTGCAATTATGCCTATGGTCAAATCTTTGGACTTTGCTATCAATTATTATGTATCTGTTGATAGTTTTTTGTTTGTTTGTTTGTTTTTTGTTAATCCTCTATTGATATTTAGACAGAGTGGAAGGGAGGAGAGACAGATACATCGATGTGAGAGAAACACATCCATCGGTTGCCTTCTGCACACGCCAGTCAGTGTACTGATCAAGTCTGCAACCAAGGTACATGTCTTTGACCAGGATCGAACTTGGAACCCTTTAGTTCCCGAGCTAAAGCTCTAACCACTGAGAAGAACAGGCTAGGGCAAAGTCAGTTTTTCTTATTTTCTCTTTTTTATCTACAATATGTGAGTAAATTCCAAGAGACAAGGTGTTCTAATTTTTATAAGCTTTTGAGATCACTGTTTAACCTATGGTATTACTGAGAAAATTAGAGTTGAAATTCTTTAATATCTGTGGATAGAAGTTGAAAAAGAAACAAGTGAACTGATTAATGGTGACTCTCCAATGCTGCATCAAGATTTATTTAAATCAAACAATCAAGGAAAAAGGTAGGAGGCACTGTCCTTTCCCTGATTCCGCGCCCCGCCCCCCCCCCCCCCCCCCCCCCCCCACGATAAGCAATATTTCTAGAGCCATTCATCAACTTCCTGTTATGTGTCACATCAACCTTTTATTATTTGGATAGGGTATTACATAAAACCCATTGCTTTATATATCAGATTATTTACCTAGCTTTAAGAAGAGTTGATTTTAAGATTATGAAGTTTTTATACCTGAAGTTTTATTGATTATTCAATATTCTTGGTGACACTTCTGCACTAAAAGATAAAATTGCTTTATTTTTGCAACACTAGAGAAGAGAGTAACTTCTCAAATTATCAAGTATTGCTTTTAGTGCATCTTGACATAGTCAGCAATTACATTTAGGGTATCAAACACGTTGAGGTGGAAACATAAAAAGGTAGACACTAACATCATTATGATGGATATCAAGCATTTTAGTACATACCCTTCTATGCATACAGCAAAATAATTATAGAATGCATCTTCATTTTCTCAATTTGATGCAGCTATCAAGTATAAGATTTTTCTCTTAGAAAATTCAATCTTATCAGGTCTTTATGTTTTATGATTTTGGGCATCATTTTCCTTTAATCATGGTGAATATTTTCAAGTTTACAAGAAGTATTTGTACATTATGAAGTTTACCTTTTGTTAAAAGATTTCAGTGGAGATGTTGGAACTAGGTTTGATTAAATTAATAACTAATAACTTCCAGAAAGTCAGTTTAGAAAAATTTGTAGTTATATTTGTTTACTGCAAAGCCAGTGAGCAGCCTTATTATTTCAGTGTTCTATTTAACCAGTGTCATGTTTGAAATCTACTTTTTCTCCTTTGCTGGTAGAGGAGCTTAACTTTGGTGTTGATATTTATTTTGTGCCATGTGCCATACTTGTGATAGAAAAATTTGTGGCAAGCAATGTAGTCAGTGTACTCATTGGCATCATATAAATTGATGGAAAAATTAAGACCAAACATTTTGATGTTACTAGTACTTTGACCTATTTAAAAATTATTTTATAAAATGTTAAACATATAGGGTGTCCCAAAAAATGTACACACACACTTTGAATAATGAATAATTATAAAGGCAGACTTTATTAAACTACATTTCATTTTCATAATTGAGCTATCAGCTTTAAAAATGTGTTCACATTTTTTCTTTTGACACCATATAAAAAAAAGACTGTTTGCCATAACAGTAAAACAAACGCCCACTTGCCTATTAATGAGGCTAAGATATAGGATATTTCCTATACCTTTGAAGCTTACATGAATCCCTTCTTAATCTTATATAGCCATCTCCCATTATACTGTGGTGACCAGTACCTTGAATTTTGGACTTACCACTTTTTTTTTTTTTATTATAGTTTCATAATATATGTATTCTTAATATATTGGTTTCATATCCTCTTCTACTCTGTAAATAGCATTATTTT